TAACTTGTACATAGATAGCTTTTTCGCGTTATATTATATTATATGGTGTAACTATTGTAGATTATTTATTTTACTGGCATATTAGACTGATAACTCAATATATATTAAATAATTTTAAATGCTAAAACGATTTTTATTTTATTTTATTTAAAAATATCACATTACAAACTAAGATTTTTACATTTTATAATGTATACAGTTTAGATATTTCGTAATACAAAATTTTTTTAAAAAATAACTTTTTTTTTATAAATTTAATAAACTTTTATACATTAAATGAAATTTACAAACAGTGAATTTAATAAAAATTTGAGATACTTAGTTTCAGAGATTGTCTCTCTTACTTGTCCCAACCACCGCGAAGAGGTGTATCTCATTGGTTGGGAAGGTAACAATAGAGGTGGTTTGGCGTTGGACCTCACCAAATATTTTTCAGAGTGTAGTTTTATTCTTTTTTTAAAAAAAAAATAAATGCCGCCTAGCACCTGTATTATACCCCAACCATATTCTTTCCTGCGCCTCCCGTCAGGAACAGGTTGTTCTTCAACGAAGCTTTTACTTAGTTCGCCAACAAAAACCTCTCGGCCCAGGTTTTTTAACTGCTTAAGTCGAGAAAAAAACGTAACTGGCTCCTCATACAGAACCAGTAGATCTCGACACAGGGGAGATGTAAAAAAGCTAGACGTCATGAAGTATAGCATAAAGCGAAGAAGAAGCGAACTAAGCGTGAAGATAAAAAACAAAATGCATAAACAACGCCAATTTAAATTGTTTTGAACCATCACGTTACACCTGATCATCAATTTTTATTGGTGATAATAACAATACCGATTTTGACACGTAATCCTAGTATAAAATATTATACTGCTGAATTTTTCGCCATATATTTCTACGATCCCCAATGGGTGCCCTTTCAAGACCGCAGGCTATTTTCAGCCTAGTCCCACCCTAGGTCGTCTTGTAAAATTTCTTAACTCGATGCCGAGTCTTGACAAAATTTTAATGGTATTTCTGCGTGTTAACTTTATGATCGAATTTCCACAAACTCAGAAAGATGTTTACCTCTTTTGTATATGTAGACTTTTCTAAAGTCTTGATGACTGAACGCATCAACAACCTAAAGGCTTCAGTGACAGACCTCAGGGCTCTTCCACAGTGAGTTTTTTAACAGGCTTTCTTTACCCACAAAACAAGAAGTAGGATAGGTATTACTCTTATTCGATCAATAGAGAATAAGTGAACCTTTTGATTTAGTATATTTTCCTTCAGGGAAATATAATATTAGATTTAATTAATCTTCGAATATCACTAACGAAAATTCACTTTTAATAGATTTTACGGGGCTTCTTCCTTTGATGTTCTACTATCCCCTCGAGCATGCTTGGTGGTTGGTTCGTGGTCTCTTCATAAAGCCATCAAGTTATTTCGTATCTAATATTACTAATTTATTATTATCAACTTTTTTATTCTTATAGGGTTTTCGAAAAGTTATAGCCCTGCCCATAAATAAAATTAGTATGTGTTGTTTACGTTGTTTACTTCAGTTTTGGAATCTTGACATCGAAAGAAGTTTACTAGTGCGACGCCGGAGAGAGTTAAAAGTTGAGGGAGTCTAAACATCGGATATTTTCCGTTTACGGTAAACTAGAGATGGGCAAGGTAATGACTTATTGCGTAAAAAGTCATTTCACATAACGTGTCGATTTAGCATGTTATTAATTGCAAGTATATATCATTGGAGAATCGTCGCATTGTGTGATGTGACTTTTTACGTAATAAGTAATTACCTTGCCCATCTCTACGGTAAACAATACTATATAAATTATACGGAATTATGTTTTCTCGTATCTAATCTTTTATCATTGTTTACCGTTTATTAGCTAGATACTATATATTATTTTTGAATGAAGTCATCATAAGGAAGCTTCGAAAAAAATTTTTCGTTCATAGTTACGGTATAATGAATGCCGTTATAGACGATTCGCCTGTATTACTAGTAGAAATGCCATTATGCTGTTATGCTGTAATTCCGAAATGCCATAATGCCTTTTGTACCAAAATTGTAATACTACACTTATAATAGAAAAATTTCCTCAGAATTGCTGGTTGTTATATAGTTTAAGTAATTTTTAGAAAAGACACTATAGTAGAAAGAAGGCTGATTTTGCTTTTTATTAACTAGCTGTATACAAATAATTTAAATTTTCATGTTTGAATTGATTTCACTGGACAATTAGTTAGAAATATAGGTGCAGATATTTAGAAGGTTACTCTTACGTCACTTTTACGTCATATAAAATTTGGGTAGTGACGTCTTACGTCACCATATATCATATGTTGTTGAAAATTCTAATCTGCCTTTAATAGACAAGTTAATACGTAATATAAATTTTGGAACTTACGCATATTATATGTTATGGCTGTGTTGTAAACAATAGGCGAAAAGAATGCTGTCAAAGGAAAATATGACTTAGGTCTTTCAAGTTTATCATTTATTATTATTTTAATTCACAAAATTTCATATTACATATGTGATATTTATGTATGCTACTGTTAGGGCTGAATACGATAAAATAATGATAATAAAATTGAGATAATATTAATGTAACGATAAAAAACAATCTCATTGATTTAGTAACTGAGCGAACACATTTTTCTTCAAAAAAAAAATTTACTATATGCAGGACAATAGGAATATAGAAACAGATAATTTTTTTTTTCTGTATTTTATGTGATCAAAGAAATATTTATGCATAAAAATATTTATTGATAAATTTTCACCGATCGTGAAATAACGCGCGTTACTCTCAAATTTACATCAATTTCGATCAACATAAAATTGAAAAAAATTGACGCAAACATTTTAACATTACAGTACATAATATTTACGAAATATATACAGTACTATGCTAAAATTAATTTTATCATCCGTAAAAATGTCGTAATGTCGTAATTCAGTGATTCTACCAACTATAGTTAGATCAAGGTTCGGAGGTCAGAGTAAGGCTTTAGATTAAAAAACTTGTACTAACGCTAAAATGTTTATTTAAAAAATTTTTTTTACTCTAAATGACAATCTAATGAGACAGCTCGAACCCTAATGATAATGAAAAAATACACATATTTATGCATAATTTCAAACTTATAACAATTTTGGGAATGACGTATTGGTGCATTTCTAAAGTAAACATTTTAAAAAATATTTACAATCTTACTTTATTCATTGTTATTTAAAATTTTTGCAATACTATCCATATTACTGCGTTATGTGGTTTTAGCCTATACTAGACAAGCAATTTGTAGAGCTTATTATAAAGAGCAAAGTTACCGATTAGATTTTTAAAACGTTGTCTGTTTATTTAAATTAAAATACATTGTAATTATACAGTATATATATAAAATTAAAACGCATCAACTTTTTATATACTGTAGAAGGTTTTTTCAAAAAAATATTTGCCAAATTTATAAAACTAATATTACTCTACAAAGTTACTGGTCAGTTTTTTAAAAAACTTCTTATATAAAAAGTTATAGTGATTTAAAATATTGAAACATGTCGAGTACAGGCTTCTATATAGCATCATATAGTATAAACAGTATATATATATATATATACTGTATCTCTGTTATAACTATAACAAATAATACAGTATATTTATATATATATGGTAGATTTTTTAACAACATAATATAGTTTTTTTTTTTTCTAGTATATACAGTATTTAAAAATTATAAAAAAAAATATACAGTAGATATTTTTATTTTAGTAAATTACTAAGTTCTTTTGTGTATTAAATATACAGTATAGCATGGTCCCACCTTTAACATTAAAAAAAAAGATATACAGTATATACTACTTTTTACAAATTTGCTATTTGTACTATATATATATATACTGTATATAGACTAATAAAACTCCAAGCAGGATACAGTAACTATATAGTAATTATTATAGTTTAATTATTAATTTGCAATATGTACGTAGGTTTTTATTCAGAATATATGGTATATAATTGCCAAAAACAATCTAACCTTCAAGATGATTGCTATATATATTTTCAAAAAGCTTTCATAAATTCACATGTAAGTTTAATATCTATCTTGCATAAACACACATGCATTAAAAGAAAATTAACATAAATATGCATTCCGATTGGCTCCATGCCTAATAGCCCAGCGAACATATTACATATAAAAACCACCTATCCTTGATTTTAAACCGAACAAAAAAAATGCTACCAGTACCACCCTCGCATAGTCCACGGACATCTCAAGAAGCCCAAATTTTGTATGAAAATATTAGGACGATAGCATTATGGTATTGAACAGTGTATTTAGTCGATAGAATACGTCATTATATGTATATAATACAATTTAAATTCATATATTCATACTTGTACGTAGGCTTGATTCAATCCCGTTGCTTCCTATCCCAATTGGTTTAGATGCTATCATAGGACTTTTTCCAATAGTAGGTACATATGTCAGAGAAAATACACCTTTTTTTGAATAATATACATATACAAGTAATAATAATCCATATTATTATGTATATATGATATGATATGATAGGTGATATCATAGGACTTTTCTTGGGAATGTACCAAGTCTATCTGACAAGTTTCTACGCCGAATTACCTCTAATGCTTATAGGTCAAATGCTATTAAACGTTTTTATAGATGCTATTATTGGAATTGTTCCTTACATAGGTAATCATAAATTTAGTTCCTCATCGAAATTTACCTTTACTGAAATTATACATTTTATATCTCAAATCAAGGTGATATTCTTGACATTTTATATAAGGCAAATTTGTACAATTTGCAACTACTTGAGTCTTGGCTGAAAAAAAAATATGGATCAAGGATACATATATACGGATCACGTTGATCACAAATATTTGAAATTAAAATTACATATTAATTATATAGAACAGTAACTTTAGCGTTGGTTTAATAAATTTTTTTATTGGTTGCAATTAAAAAGTCATCTTTTTATTCTATATCTGCCAGAAGTCATCATTTTTCATCGCGTCAATCGCGCTTTTGTAACCTCCTTTATGTAACGCACGTTTCTTGAACCGAACAATTGCATCGAAATATCGGTATTGTTCATTGGTTTTCCTTGGTCTTGGTAACTTTTTAGAAGTCAAGAGTTTATCTGCAAGATAATGCAGCCACTAATATATACATTATACGTTTAAAAATTGAATAATATATTGAACGCAAAAAAAAAATCCAAATTTAACTAAACTTACAAATACATTCGTCTTTGGGCAAAATGACTTCCAATTACCCTTGGTCTCTTCACGCATCATGCGATAAATTTCGAACTGATAATCACCTGCCAATTTATAAAATAAATTACGAATATTTTTAAAAATTATAAATCGAGTTCAAATACCTTGGCCAGTAAAATACCCTTCATCTAAAATATCAACGTGAATAATCTCATCCCCTGCAGTCGATAAGTATTTAAAATAAAACACGTCAATAAAATAAATTTTTAAACATGAAAAATAATATCGAATTTATTTTTATACAAACCGCGTTGCATACGAGACAATGTATAATCAATTATAAAAGCACGTATGCCACATGTAGGAACTTGTACATTGATTTCCGCTGAGGGTAATTCATATGTTACAACCTTATTTTTCGTGGGTTTTATTGTAATATTACCCCAATGTAGATCCCTGTGCTTTAAAATGAAAATTTAAAATGATTGTGTAATATCATAATTTATGAAATTTATACTAAATAAATAAAAATGACTTACTTCGAATTT